TTGAGTGTCGGGGCACAACGCAGAATAAGCTAGTCGACCATGCGCTCTGGGTTAGGTGGAGTGTAAAAAGAAGCATGTTTGGGTGCACAAGTACACAAACTCGATTTAAATACAAGGACCGTCCAGGCTGAAATGACATCGGTCAGTCATAGAGTGCGTCTGATTGACAGATCAATCCACAGTAGTTGGGAAGCGGAGGCAGAGATTTTAAGTAACTCAGTGAAGTCGCTTAGACAACACCTTGAGAGAGGAGAACATACAAGCAGAGGTTTGAGACGGAAGAGTGCAGAGCTGATCAGCCGAACTAGAAATCTACCAAGTTGTCCAAAGGCTAGCGGAGACAATACACACCTGACACCATGTTTAGCAACAAAAGTTGGCGGACCGCATGCAGCGAGAATAAGACACCCAACTGACCACAAGTGTCCAACCAGACCAACAGAGAACCTCGACATGGGCCAATACTTGATGGCGTCTGACACATTGGAGAGGTGTTTTCTTCATGCATGAATCACTCTTTTCGGTTTTCACTGTACATGGAAGGTGTCAGACAGTGTGTGTAGTGTTGTGTGGGTTAGCAGTTTGCTTAAAGGTCAACATTGTGGATGGAGTGACCCAAGTCGGTGGGGGAGCGGTGTGGCTCGGCAAATGCTCTCGTTTCCCCAATACAGTATAACTGCATATTTTAGAATCGCCTTTTACTGTGTGCGGCACAGTGGTCCCTTGCTACATTTTATGACTTATATTTTGATTATGACCTGTATTTTTTTACAGTGTAATTCGGCATCCTTTTATTTTTATTTTTTAAATTTTTACATTTTAATTGAGACCAATTTGAAGCCATCTCCTCCCTGCCATGTCTCCTGTACAATAAACAAATAATAATACAACTGTATACTTATTTTGAACTTTGAGCACATTTAAATGAGGGAAATGTGAACAAATACTAATGATGAGATTTACAGCCTTAAAACATATCGTGTAATTGTAAAAAAAAAAAAAAAAAAAATCCTACTTAGTGGATTTCATGTATCGCGGGTTATTTTTTTAAACGTAATCCCCGCGATAAACGAGGGACCACCGTATACCTTTGCAACAATCATGTTTGCTAATCACCGTTGTGAATTGCCATACATGCGGCAAAGGAGAAGTGCTCACAAATATAAATGTACACATCTTTGTGGACAATATTTCAAAGAGACATATGTATTTGTTTAGCTTACATAGGAGAAAGGCTAAGATGTTTGAGTTAAGCTCATGTTGCGTATCTATTACAAATTCTCCCCCGGAGAAAACGACATCAGTCGCTGTCTTCTTCGAATATTTATTCCATATGTGGCCTCGTACCTCTGCAGATGGAGCTACCACACTGAGAAAGTGATCAAGGGTTCCTCACATTGGGGTTTGCTGACCACCTACAGCGGAGCCGGATACTACCAGGACCTGGGTCGAACCAAGGAGGAAAGCGCGGTTCTACTCAGGGAGCTGGAGGAGAACCTCTGGCTAGATCGAGGAACCAGGGCCATCTTCATTGACTTCTCCACTTACAATGCAAACATCAACATGTTCTGTGTCATCAGGTACAGCCTGAAATCCAATTTGCTCGATCGGAATGGCAATTTGTGTTTGACGCGAGTCTGTTGATAGGTTGGTAGTGGAATTCCCGGCAACGGGCGGAGCGATCCCTTCTTACCAGATACGAACGGTCAAACTGATTCGCTACATCAACTACTGGGACTACTTCATCCTGGGTTGTGAGATGGTCTTCTGTTTATTCATCCTCTATTATGTTGTGGAGGAGATACTTGAGCTTCGAATACACAAGTTCTCCTACTTCAAAAGTATCTGGAACATACTTGACATCGTAGTCATACTGGTAAGAAACATGTCACTCGGGAGAAATTCTTCCAGGTTTTCAGTAAGCTTAAAACGATGAACACGTCTCTCATTTCCAGCTCGCCGTCGTTGCCATTGTGTTCAATATTTTCCGGACAGTAAAAGTGGACAAGTTGCTTGGCAAATTATTGGACCAACCGGAAATTTACGCCGACTTTGAGTTTCTGGCCTTCTGGCAAACACAATACAACAATATGAATGCAGTCAACTTGTTCTTTGCATGGATCAAGGTAAAATTCTGCCGCGCTCCGCTCTCAACGTTGACATGTGCCACCTTTCCTGAAATAGCGTGCGCTCTTCTTGTCACCGTAGGTGTTCAAGTACATTAGTTTCAATAAGACCATGACCCAGCTGTCCTCCACGCTGGGTCGCTGTGCCAAAGACATTATAGGATTTGCTATAATGTTCTTCATCGTGTTCTTCGCGTACGCTCAGCTTGGATATTTGCTGTTTGGTACAGAGGTGGAATCCTTCAGCACCTTTGTCAAGTGCATGTAAGAGATATATCCGGAACAGCAGAATAACTTGAATCTGCGGTGTGCCTGAACTCATCAGTCTTTCCATCTTTTTTTCCCCCCTCGCAGCTTCACCCAGTTCAGGATTATTCTCGGAGACTTTGACTACGATGCAATTGATCGTGCAAACAGAGTCCTCGGACCGATTTATTTTGTCACCTACGTTTTCTTCGTTTTCTTTGTCCTGCTCGTAAGCCATCCTGCTACGCAAGTCATTTGAAAGTCATATAACACTGTATGTTTAGAGTTTCACGTTTCATATCTCTTCAGAACATGTTTCTCGCCATCATAAATGACACGTATTCGGAGGTGAAAGAGGAGCTATCGTCCCAAAAAGATGAGCTCCAAATCAGTGATATCATCAAACAGGTAACACGTGGTGTACCACTGTTTGTGTATTCAGCATTTAAATAGGATTTCACGTGGTCTGGATTCTTTCCAATCAGAGTTACATGAAGACATTCATGAAGCTGAAACTTAAAAATGAGAAAATATCCGATGTTCAGAGGGCTCTACGCGCTGGATCGGGCGAAATTGAATTCAAGGATTTTCGGGAAACTTTAAAAGAGTACGTGGAAAAGATTACGACCGCATCTTGTTATGCCAAAAGATTGAAACACAATCCTCACCACTCTGATGATGTCGCAGGATGGGACATGCTGATCATGAAATTTCTGCAGCTTTCTCACAGTTTGACCGTGATGGGAACCACATTCTAGATGAGGATGAACAGGAAAAGATGAAAACAGAGCTGGAGGAAAAGAGGGTTTGTCGAGTTACATGCTTTGACCTCGACACCATTTAAAACATTCTAATGATCTCATATGTTGTTTTCTTCATCTGACCGACAAAGTCCTGTAAAGCTTTTGAATTTTCCGATTTTCTCAGGATGCTCTTGCTGCTGAACTCAACAATCTTGGAATGAACTACGGGATAGAATTAGGGGAAAAGACTCCAGTGATCTTAAGTGACCAAAAGAGCAACTCCGGTCACACGTTTATGGACCGAGAACAGTTTCTAAGGTCACATTTCGCCTCCCCCGAAAAAGTCTACATTTTATATGACATTAATCAAGTCTCTTCACGATGTCTCTCTGTCAATTGCAGATTGGCCAGGCAGGTTCTCCACCTTGAAAGTGCTATGTCTGGCATTACAGTGAAGATTGAGTTGATTTTGAAGAAAATTGGGATAGAGGACATAACCGAACTAAACAAAATCAATGGGAAGTCGGTGACCAATCATATCGTAAGTATAAGCCTCCAGTGTCGGCAATATTGAATTGTATGGTAGGTTAATTGGGACCCCCTGAATTGCCCGAGTGTGAATGGTTGTCTACCTGCGTCTTAAAAATTGCATTGAGTCAGTGACATTAGTACAGTATATGAAATGACTTGACCTGCAATAACTTACGAAGAAAAAAAGTGTAAAAATGTGTTACAATCAGAATACATGAACAAATTGATGGATCACGACGCAAAAACGATCGGCATGTATGTGACTTCTTTTTCTAATTACCGCACGCAGGCGGATAAAAATGCCTCTGATGGGAGTATTTTGGTTTGCGTGGACCGAGGGACAAAGGCTGCGCTGCCATCAGGGAGAATTTGCACTGTCCCCACATATGACTGTCATATGTGATAAAGCCGTGAGATGTGACAAAGGGGATGAAGAACGAGTTACAGATCAAATATGTTTATGCTTTAAAAGAAACATGTCATAACTGAAAATATCCTCCAAGATTAACACTCTCAACTCAACATACAAACACTTGAGCTTTGGACGAGTCAAGTTTCACTGAAATCTGTAAATTATGGACACTTTTTTTTTTTTTTTGCTGTCTAGACATCAGATAAAATGTTCAAGCACAAAAACTTAGATCACTACAGTGTTAAATGTTGTAGATTCCACTTAAACATGAAACTACATATTAGAAGTGTTGTGTAAGTTCTCTATATCTAAATAGACTGTTGTGCAACACAGTATAACAAATTAATAAATGCCTAAGTTATTTTTCCATTTACTCAAAGTCTGTCAACTTCTTTGCTTAGTTTGTTGAAGTGTGAGTAATGGTCTTAAATGTTAATGTGCAATCAAGCGTTATTCACGTCCGTCCTGGTCTTGAGCTGCAAATGCTCGAATACAAGTGAGCAACGTTGTGTTGGTTAGATGCAAGATGCAGCTGAATACGTGTCTAATAAAGATACTAACAGATGTGGTTTGAACGTGTCTTTATTTCGAGTGACTAAACTGCGTTTTCTATTTTTTCTAATGAAAACCATCCCCAGCCTTTATTTAACATCACTTATCACGGAAGCAAATTGTCATTACATTCAATATCTTATGCAACAAACATATACTGTGTGCACGTCACAATCGTGCAGTTCAAGCTAAAACATCATCTCTGCTTTCTGCTACTTCAAGAAAAAGGACAAATCCGCAGTGGGCGATTTAAAATTGGCCAAACCACTTTAGGGGCCCCCCCATATGAAATTAATCATATTGACTGACAAGGTTTTTCAGAACATCCAACCCATAGTGATGTACACAGCATTACCGGAGCTGCAATTATTTGGGGATATTGTTATTTTGTCAATTGTCTTGTTAATCCCAAACAGCTCTTTTAGACCCCCCCCCGAAAAAAAATCAAGTCTATTACACACATGATACGACAAATGGCACATAATTTCAAGCCAAATGAAAAGGTGCCTATGATTGAAATTCACTTCAGAGTGCACCAAGGGGCAAATGTAGAGGGGGCGGGGGTTGCCATATTTACAAATCCTTCCACCAACATGCAAAAAGCCAAAAAATAAAAGTAAGGAAGGACATACGATCTGTTTGTCGTTACAAAGGTGGTTGATTAGAAAATGCTCCATAATCAGGGATTGGTCTTCAAGGAATAATGAAAAAGAAAGACTTTATATTCCTCTAGGAAACCAGCCCAGAATCAGCATAAAGATTATCTGTTAACAAGATGATGAATTGTTTTAACACTTCAATGCAACAGTGAGCCCATCTCAAAGGTTTTTTTTTTAATCTCCTTTTTTATGAGACAGGTTCACCAACACAAAATATATCAAAAGCTTACAAAGAACATGCTGTCAGAGCAGTGAAAGTAACATGAACTTTGCTCATCACTCAGAGAAATCTCACCACTGCTGTAATTATTTTAAAGCCACAGCACACGATCGAAACTGTTGTGCTCTGCGAAGTATTCCAGGAGCTCTTTTTTCCAAAGCACTTTTCATTCGCATCAAAATTGCAGTGACTCTATGGCTATTGGCTCAACACAAACCAATACTGTAAGGTTGCCGTGGCTCATTGCAATTGTTGCAGATTTAAATTTAAAATATCAACTCAAGTCTTGTGACTTTTTCTTACCAATTGTATCAAATAGAGAAAAAAAACGCGCCAAGCACGAGCAGTACATAAACATTCTGACTCGACTACAACTAACAAATGGAAAATATTAAATGGATTTTTATATTTGTGAAGAACACGATAGGAGTATGTATTGCTGTAGTTCGAGGTTTCAAGCGTGATTCCACCAGAACACAAATATAGTTTTGGATGTGATTTTTACGTATGTATTTTAAAGCTATTTCTCAAATTTGAAATGTGATTGGGGCGAGTTTTTCCTGCGAGGTGATCTTGAGAGTTTCGCCCATAGCTAACAGATACTGCAGCTGTTCAGTAGGACTACTGCATTAAATGTCACCTATTGTCCCTTTGCTCTGGTCCATATCAGTAAAAACAGGCAGGTGGCTCACCTGTGTATTGCAGTACAAGATGGATTAGATTCCACGTTCCAGAATGCAGGCAAATACAAGGTTAAGTGCACCATGAAGGTCATATGACATGAGGATAATTTTTACTGCTTAATCCCTGATAAAAAATAATTCTCACAAAGGGGCCAACAAGCGCCACAGGAGTGAGAACACATTCGGACTGATTAATTTGATGGCGATGTTTAATGCGAGACTTGCATTTCATTGTCCTGGAGCATGTTCATACACTGAAAATTTCATTTGAAGAAAAAAATAAAATAAAATTAAACATTCTTAGTGAAATGGGCACAGTCATTACAAAAAAAAAAGTTATTTGTCCTATGAGGCAAACAGATGCTTTATGTATAATGGTTTGACCAGAGCTGGTTCTTCTTAGTAATGGGCTTGTGTTCGGACCAGCTCACTGTGTCTGGTAACCAGTCATGTTGAAGTTGGTCAGGTTGGACACGACTGAATTCGCGGAGGCTGAAGCCTGAGCCGATTGAGAGCCAAATCCTCCGACCCAGCCGGGCGACTGAGACTGCCTGTGAATTCAATCATATATGAATATGCAAGTTCATTGCAAACGAGGAATATTTAACAAACGCGTTCTAACTTTGAGGAAGTATCATGGCAGTCTAAGGCTGGAATGAAACGTATGATTTTGATACATACTCTACTCCAAAGCCTTGTTGGTTCCATGACTGGCCATACATGTTGTAGGAGGGAACTTGCCATCCATTTGTCACATACTGCTGCCCATATTGCTGCTGTGGACTTCCATAGACCTGATTCCACTGCCCCCACTGACCATATTCAACCTGTGACAAGAAATAAAGAAATAATGGAGTCACACAATCGGGAGCAAACAACCGACTTGACTGGAAAGGATGCATGATTGACGTTCATTCCAACAACATAACAAAACATATGACTTCGGATAAATTACTTTACCTGCTGTGAGCCTTTGGTCATATCGGGAGATTCTTTGCCCCAGTAGCACTTCACTATGTGTCCTTCAATGCCCGTGCCATTAACTGACACAATGGCATGGGCAGCACTGTCATGGGAGGAAAACCTTTCAAATAGAAGAGTGTTATCAAGCAATTTCATCCGACAAGAGAACTTGGTTGACATCTAGGGGTCAAATGCTGTAATTACCTGATGAAAGAATACCCTTTCTCTGGGAAAACTCTGATTTCCATGATCTGCCCAAATGGTGAGAAGGTCTGACGCATTAAGGTATCTGACATAATGAGAGAGAAAAAGTACTCTATTGTACATATGTCGAAACTGACCAAGTGTCAACACAACACTAAATGCAAACTACTTACCAGATAGCCCTGACTGGATGCCGCCACAGTACACTGTACAGTTCTGCGGGCTGGATTGGCTCACAACATCATCGAACCGCAGTTGTTTTGAGCCATCTGAAAGGTACAAAAATACCCCCCAAAAAACTTCAGCACACCATTGCTGTACAATCAGCAAACATTTGCATTCTAAACTTACTGTCCTGCGAATTTTTTGGAGCAGGTGGCTTTCGTGTTGCCCAATTGGTCCTGATTTGGCGACCTCCGAGCCACTGCCCGCCCATATGAACAATGGCGTTCTCAGCATCCTATAGAAACAAATCAAGAAGTCAAAACCGAGAGTTGAATGAATACATTTCTGTATACCGACTAGCAATACTAGTGATCAAAACCAATTGAACATGCTGAATTTAAACAAATAGCGGCCAGCTTACTATAACCGCAAAGGGGATGGGGATGTTTAGTTTGAAATAGGCAATCTTGGAACACTATCAGAAAAGGACCGTAGCAGAGAATGCTGAAAATAAGCAAGACATTTAAAAAAAAAAAAAAAACTAGCTCTCTGGAATAGTCCCTGGTGGTGTACAGCCTGGACTGATGCTGGCCAATCACAGTGTTTACAATAATATTAACAATTATTATCATATGTACTTGCAGCTAGAAATCAAAGCATAGAGAGCTTCTGTCACCAAAAGGCATGGGTGCAGCCTGTGAATGGCGCAATCCATCGCTGTCAACAGCTTCTCAAAAATTTTACTCTCTCTCTCATTGATTTGTGCCCGTTTTCCTTTCTTTGAGGCAATCCACGTCTTCCTTGACAATTCATGCCATGTTTTTAAGGTCCGATTTAAAAAAGACAAGTGTGCGGTGCTCTACCACTTGGCGTACGGGTGTAAGCGGACGACAAATTTTTTTCACAGGGGTCCACTTCAGTTGCGGTGTTCAGCGAGCCGAGCCTGAAGCAAATGATGCATCCAGTGACTCAATGAGGCGTGGCCACTATGTGGGTAAATTCAGCAATGACATTCGGGTTAGTAATCTACATATGATCCTGTTCATGTTATTCTCAACAGTGTTATAGTAGGAGGTTATGCAGGTATGACTGTGTGTATTACGTTACACTTCTATAGATATTTGCCCAAAAAGAAAGTAAGAATAATAAACAGGAAAAGAAATAACCTTTCATCTGTGTTGCGGCACTGGAGCCTTACCAGTTTGTTGTAGAAGGACACAAATCCATACCCCTTTGATTTGCCTGTCGCCATGTCCTTCACAACACGAGCATCTCTGGAGCGAAATGTGAAAAGATTTTCAGTGAGTATTCCGGTTAAAATGCATTGTTTTTAAAAAAAGGAGCCACGCAAGACACACTGAACTGTGAATCCACTACACTGTCCTATATTACTGGTAGCTATCAGGACCCTGGACTCAGTGCTGACTCACTGACTCAAAAGCAGGAATTTAAGTAGGCATACATGCAGTCTACAGAAAGATTTTACACATCATAAGATGTATTATCAAATTATTGCCACAAGAGCGCCACTTTATCTCCTACTCTTAATCTCATGAAATATACGCTGTACACTACCATGCATTCTTAAACTAGTCTTCTGGCCTACAAATTAAAAATGTATAGAATATGTAAGAGGAAAAAAGGAATAAAATGGCATACATGGCTAGATTTCTTTTTTCCCTTGGTCAATTCTTTACCACCAATATGGAGAGTATGGCATTTGGGGAGCTGAAAATTTTGAGAAATTGACAATTTTCAGAAATTTGGGAAGAAGACCTTAATGCGACAAAACTTAATAGACAATTGAATATGAAACATTTGAAATATAGATTTAGAGGAATACACTTAATATTGAATGTGATTGTCTATACTATATCACGTAAAGACAGAGCATCTACAAATAAAGACAGAGGAAAAATGGAATAAATAGAGAAAAAAAAACTACATCTGAGTCTCCAGAGTGCACAGTTCCTTGCTGTTAGCCTTCAAGCTCCTGTCCAATCCTATGAGCATTTCTGTAAAAATAACCAAAATGCTATTACTTCACTGAGACCCACATCTAAAAGCTGTTCAGGTTCACATACACAGCTGACATTGCGCTGACACTTACCATAGACTAAATATGCGTAGGAGAGCAACGATAAGAGAGCACTTCAGTATGTGATTGATAATCAACAACTCCAAATGCGGCCAATACAATTCTCTCAGGGAGTTTAAAAGGACTTCAGTGTGCATTGTTTTCTGGTTACGACAGAAAATCACCGGATGGCTCAAGTTATGTTGGCAAAAACTACAGCTTTGTTTTTCATGCATTGGGTGATGTATACTAATTATTAGAACACTGACTGACAGAAGACTTTTTTTTTTATATCACGTTGAATTCAAAACAGAATCAGATCTAAATGAGGTGTAATTTAAGTGCAACTAGATGCCCAGATTGCAATTAAAGTTTCACAAAAATAGGAATGATGGACACTATTCAAAATCATAAATATCCAGAATCATTGACATAATGAACAAAAACAGGCGGTCACTTAAATTTGTCTTCCAAAAGAACAAGTAACTTAAATATTCTTGGCCTTTTTGTGCAAACAAAGATGATGGCTCTGCCTACAGTTATGTCATATGAGCCCATCGAAAATTGGGGTGATTTGTATAAAATAATCTGACATTATTTGCTAAATGGTAAATATTTGTGGGAAAACTCTGAAAACTGAGAATCTGCACATCAATCACAACTTGACTGTATCTCTCTTTCCGATGAAGGCAAAAAATATATACTCTGCGGCTCCTCAAACTAATTCTGAATTCAAAATCAACATAAGATTACTAGAGAACATTTTAATAAACCTGCAGAGGTATGCGTTTGTTTTCCTTCCAACTCATCTTTTCAAGAACACTTTACAGAATTTACCAGGGGGACAATGTATACACAAATGTTTTTGTTTTGCTGTTATTCTTTTATGGCTTGCAAACAGCTATCAATGTCATTCTTTTGTGTTCTCAATGAAGTGGTACATAACATTTTGAGTACTGTATTCTATAAATGATATTGCTGCAGTAATACAAGCTTTTGAAAATAGGTGACAAAACATGATTCTTAGAGGAAAGCTTTAATGCTGTGATAATGAAAATAAATATAGAAATGAAGTAAACTTACGAGATTCTCCCAAAAGGTGCAAATGCAGCCCTCACATCTTCAGTGGTAATCTCGGGACTTAGATCACCCACAAACACATGAAAGTGATCTATAATGGCATAAAAACAATTACCGTTACAAAAAATATCTTCCCTTTTCACTCCCAGTACATAAATGTTCCAAACACTTACTGGATGTGTCTTTCTTTTGGCTACTGGGAGTGGTGGCCCAATTTACTTTGACTTCCTGAAAATAAAGGAAACAAACATTTCATTTTTAACAGGAAGGCAGGCATTTTCTACGCAAGAAGCAAACATACCACGGTTCCAAAATGACTAAATTTGTACCAATAAAAGTATCCCACCTTCCCTAGTATTTTCCTTCCATTCATAGCTGCTAGGGCTGCAGCAGCATCTCTGTGCTCAAAGAATTCCACAAAGCAATAGGGGTCATTGGTTGTATGCTGCAAGAGAAAATGTCAAACCAAGTAATTAATTTAGCTTTCAATTACGTTGCATACGTTAAATGGTGACTTCAAATTCCTGTCGCTTTTTTTCATTAGCGAGGGAAAGATTAAATCACTGCGAATTTCAAATTTCCAATGTAACGCTCCAGGTATAAATTGAGTCGCTTTGCGTACATTGGTAACACATTCATATATAGATTAATTTTGGCATTTCTACTTCAGAATCGCAATATAGCGCTAAACTAAATTCATCACTTACCTCGGTGATCATTTTACAACTTTTACAAGGCCCTATTTGAGTAAAGAGTTGTAGAATCAGAATTTCTGTCACATCCCTGGAGAGATTTCCCACGTAACTGGAAGGAAATAAAATAACCTCTGTAATAGTACTCCAATAATTCAATAATATCAACAACAACACAAGTGTCGTAAGGGCTTGTGTGCGATTAACCCAGACAAGCCAACGTGTTAGTGCAACTTAGTTCCATTCGCTTGAAAGTCGGACAAACCGCCGAGCTAATGCTGCTAATTTAGCTGTTCATGATATTTGCGGTAGTTTGACTCTATTCGACTGTTACGGAGCATATTGAACGAGCAACAAAAATAGCTGTGAATTTATATTTTTACAAACACTGTGGATGGACGTTGTCTCCAACTTCACTGTTGCCAGAAATACAAACCAATAAACGCCTGACTTCGTGTTGGCAGCGCAAATTAAGTTAGCAACCGCGTTTTAAAATTAGCACAGCAAACGTTTCGGAAATTAGTAAAACTATTGGAATTTACAGTGTCCTGGGGTAGGAATCGTCGTCCATTATCGATGTCGACTGTCACCAAAAGCAGTAAAGAAAAAAAATCTATTTGCTGGTAAACTAAAGTTTCTTGCTTCCTCGGTACGCTAAATCAACTTGCTAACTAGCCAGAAGCTAGCTAACCGGACACCAGGCTTACGTCATGCTGCTACGCCACAAGTGTCGAGAACGCATGCGTATTCTGTGACGCCATGTATGACAGAGCGCCAAATATCTTCTTCCTCCTCTTTTGGTTTTGGCATGGTGGTTGCCAAACAATTTAATTCGCCATTACCGCCACCAACTGATCTGGAGTGTGAGTCCTAATGATCTCCAAATATCTAATTTAACCCTCGTTTTATTTATCAGTGTCTGGACTCACAGAGTTCGTTGGTATCTTGGTAGCCCACCTCCAAAATGTTCTCAGGGCTCGCCCCCCAAAAAATGATTTTACATACATTAAATTTTAAAATAAAAATCTGAATTAGAATAATCTTTATTGACCAAGTATGTAAAACACACAAGGAATTTGTTTCTGCCAGTACGAGCTACACTCGTATTGCAGTAACAAGCAACTATGATAAACAAAGACATGCCATATAAGTATAGAAAGACCTTCTGTAATGTAAGGGTACCATTGTGCAGTAGTACCACCCAATGACAGCTGTGTGACAATGCGCAGAGTCATCAAACAGAGATAAAGTGATCAGTGGTGTGGGACTTACAAAACTATGATGTTTGTGCAGTTGGTGCCAATAATCGTATGAATTCAGAATTAGATTTATTGGAGCCAAACATAGTTACCTCAATACAAGAGCATGGAAGGGACCACCTGGCACTCCCTGTTAAAGATGTTAAGATCTTCAGTCTGCACATCCTCAGCCATCCGAGACTACCTCTCATGGTTAGTTAAGTCTATGGCACATGTGTCAAACTCAAGGCCAAATCTGGTTTCCAATGTCCTTTTATGTGGAACACCCGCTTCACAGTACAGAGATCCAGGTTTCACATCTGGGGTCCGGGCTTCCTGTGTGGAGTTTGCATGTTCGCCTGTGTGGGTTTTCTCCAGGTACAGTACTCCGGTTTCTTCACACTTTTCAAAAACATGTCCCTCGGTGTGATCATGATTTTGAATGATTGTTTGTCTGTGTACCCTATGATTGGTTGGCAACCAGTTCAGGGTGTACCCTGCTGCCCGCAGACAACTGGGATAGGCTCCAGCATGTCGGCGACACTCGTGAGGATCAGCAGTTTGGGTAGTGGATGGATTAATGCATGATTATAAAGTGGACAGCAACAAGAGATAAATATAAGACAAATTAGCTTGGCCCAGATCATTTCAAGACTACGACTTTAATATGATTTATCTTTAATTTACATGTCATTATGTAATGCTGTTCTTCAACCATTTAGGCAAATATGTGGCAAAAATTTATTCTCTGTGAGGTCAAAACTATTTCGGAGCAAGTGTTGTTGAGTGTAGTGAGCCATAGTCATGTCATTAGCTTCTATGCACTGAGTCACAACAGAGTGACAGTCCGAGTTGCCATCAGTAATAACAGATGCAATTCTTTGATGCTACCACACACCAAGTAGGGAGAAATTCCAGAGATTAATTTAATTTTGACAACATTATTAACTGCTCAAAGAGAAATTGTTGTCTGAAATTTCCTGTTAATTCAAAAATGATGAGCTCAGCTTAGTTTGTGACCTTTTTTCACATACAGTTTTGCATATACTGTAACAATGTGACCCCCCCCCTTTTTTTATATGATTAATGCTATAACTCCGTGTTGGTGTTATGTATCAAAAAATTACAGACTGAAAACACTACAATTCTAATGTTGACTTTAAACTTCTATGAAGTACAGTATTTTCAATCTGAATTCGCTGCTTTGTGAAATGAAAAAACGAAGGCACATTCATAATCAGCACCCCAAAAAAATCTACAAAAGTATACTTGCATCTCATATTAGAAAAGAAAGTAAACGTTTGTTGACCAGTGGAATGAATAATTCCTGTGTTTGTGCATTGTATTAAAAAACAACACTACAAATCTAACAGTGACCTAAGTACGTTTCCACTGTGTTCTACTTTTGTTTGAATCTGAGAAATAACTGTCTTTGAGATGTTTCTGACATTTGTGCTTCGTGCTACATTTCTGATGGAGAAAGACAAACTTAATATTATCATGTTTCAAAGTTTCATTTCAGTATATGCTTGATTGACCTCGAACGCCATGTTCTCACAACTTGTACACAATGGAGCACACAGAAAAAAGGGCCAACTTGAGCTGAATGAAGCCAAGGCCTCATTAACTGATAATACAGTATAGACAGGAAGGTTCAACTTCGGGAGGGCAGCATGTCACCGGAAGATGTTTTAGCCTCCAGGTGTCCACTGAGGGGCATATCGGTGGGCTGGGCTGGAAAGCGCGACATGCAAATAAGGAGGAATGTTTTTCTGATATGTTACTTGTATTTTGCATATCCTGTGAATAAAAAGTGGTCAGCGGGGGTGCAAAGGTGGGGTTTCGATCTGAGAGGCAACACGACTTGTGCAGCCTTCGAGGAACTTCGCCCCCTTTGCTGATCAGCAAAAGACAATCTGTTCCTGAGTTGAGTCGATTCTTTTCATTCAAAGTTCAAGCTGTCCGGGTGAATTCCCTGACAATTTCCTTTACAGCCCCCCACACACACTAAACAGTCAGACACACACGTACATACATACATACATATACATATGTGTGTGTGTGTGTGTGTGTGTGTGTGTGTGTGTGTGTGTGTGTGTGTG